AAGAAGTAGAATATAATAATTGGATGAAATATAGGAAGAGGGGTAGCACATGAAAAACCTTATCAGAATGAATAATCGGATAGGCATTGTTAACCACTACAGCTAGCTGTCGCATCGCACAAAGTGCCATAGGGCTCATTTATAGCTTCAGTTCTGCTATTCACCTGGCTTCCTTGTAAAAGCAGAGAAGTTGCATGGTTGTCACAAGTAAAGATGTGGAAAGGAGCGCTAATGAAATGCTTGAGGGAATTACTAGAAATTCAGTTTCGAATTGAAAGAATTTTATATTAAGATAAGTTAATAGAGGTATGGAACAGTGAATGGGTAACAGAACTCTAGGAGTTCATTCGAGATTCTGGGATTTATAGCAGTCCGAGAGGTCGATAGAGAATGACTAGAGTCTGCACTTGTTGAATGCTTTCGCGAAAAGCATACCTATCCAAAAGAATCGCTTTACACTAACCAGCTATGTCACGACCTTCGTGAATCACTGTAGTAGCCTTCTGCTGTGCCAGTGGATAGAGTTCGCCGGCCATAGCTGCGTTGGCGTTCCGCATGTCAGCCTCCATCATCGCCAGCTGGGACAATGTCTGCAAATGATCACATTAATCCAACTCACTAATTACACTATTCGCTAGAAAATCATTTTTTTTGTTCTACTTGCTTACTTGAACAGAAGCAAGGTCGCAAAATCGGTGGAATATCCTCAATTATCTATTTGCAAAACAATTATTGAAGCTTCTTTAGCTCTATAATACATTTTCCTTTCCACATCCCTCCTTAAGGTCTGCCTGTCTCGTTCAAACTAAGTTCTAGGATTTGCTGAAGCATCGGCATATTGTATGAAATATAAGCGAATGAAATCTAACGTGAACTCTATTTCAAATCATGTCGGCCTTCATTATAGGGCTTATTATTACGCCTAGGACATTTGGCACAAACTCAGCAAAGGCCTCATTATTGAAATCCCAAATTTCTATGAAACTAATGGCTTCTTTCATTTAGGGATGAGTAGTTTAAGGATTTTTTGCCCTTGGGACATGCGAACATTTTCGATCGCTTGCACCACCTCTTCTCCTCTTCCCTCTAGATCCCGACGCTGATTCAGCGAGTCCTACGAAACACAAGGAGGCTATGGTGTACAGGAACAAAAACAAGAAGCGTCGTTTATCAACGCCCACAACAGCACTTGCGTAAAATCAGCGATGCAAAAAAAAGCTACTTTTCCTCGAACATCAGAGACGTCAACCTATGCTACCTTCAACCTTCTAAAATGTAAGTAGTCACTGCAAAACATGCAATCCCATGCAACTGCGTGAGCAGAGTCATCGACTTGGTATTTACTGAGTATGCAAAACAAGTTTATCAACTTCAGAGGATATATATATATATAGCTATTGAAGTCGGAAGTTTGATTTAAACATCCTTTTTTCACTTGAATAATTCCTTCCAAACACTGCGGCTGAGAACTGAGCTGAATTCAAAACA